GTTCATCACAAGTACCAAACACTGAAAACGAGCAGTTGTGGTTGCCTTCTATAACGCCCTTTTGTTGACCAACTTTACTCGGGGCCAAACTTTTAAGAATAACAGAGGTAAAAGAATCAAAACGACAGTGTCATAAACGAATCAACTATGTATAACATAGGCGTGTAATTTAGACAATTATGATGACAGAGCTTTCCCTTCTGGCGAAAAATTCAGTGCAAGGTCCACACCAAACGGTGACTCAAATCAGGAACCGTCTCCAGCTTCTTAGCAGAATTTTTACAGGACCTACCTATGTTTGTAAGCATAATGTCAGACAGATATGCATGACCTTCGACAGTTCCTGCCTTCGCTGTTAGAATTCGATCCGATCAATTTTCATCAGACGCGTTTTCGGGTAAGGCTCTTACGAAAGCTTAATAGGTCAACTAATCATCTTATACAAGAAGCAAAATTCGGTAATAGCCGAGTAAAAAAGAGCCGCATTTTTCCTGTGGAAATAATTGATGAAGATTTCTGTAGGTTTTCTTCTCTAGTGAATAAGTCTAGGGTATAACAATTCCTGCCATATATATAGGACCAACGTGAGAACGGACGAAGCTACTCAAAAAGTTAATTGCTTCCCGCATTATAATACTAAATCCTGTAATGCAAAGCGTGACGTTTTAAATAGCTTTTCTTCCTTTGGTTGGGATAAACATCACGCAACATTTCTTGATTTAATCGATTTTTACCTTAAAAGCACAAAAATTGTTTTATCGCTATGAGAATGACGAGGTATGCCCTATTTTTACAGATTACTTACAGGTAACATAGTGAAACAAAACCAGACACTTATTTGAATCGTCTTTACCTGGCAACAGGAGAGCGTGACGTCAGAGTACATGCCCAAAGAATGTTCCGGAAGACAGCTTAAGTTTTATGCAACTCAAGCAGATTGCCAAAATTTGAGAAAACTGTTTGTAAAAATTGGCATTTTTCTATTGATGGTCTCTTGTATTGGCGAGGTTTGGCGCCGATTTGAGCATACGAGAAGAAGACGCAGTCATTGTGAGCATTTAAAAGACAATCACTGGAGGAAATTAACATAATGTAGAATCAAAAGCGAAATAATTAAGAGGGGAAATATCTTTGTATAACACCACGATTTGGTATAAGTCGAAGGAGTTCGAATTACTTATTTAGATACCAATGCATAAATTAGGTAGAGTAAACTCTCCATTCCCAAACGAACTCGACTAAACGGGCATCAAGCTTTTCAAATGCAAATGGCTTTAAATCGCACCTAATCACATGGAAAACAGTATCAAGAGATCATTTCCAGCAGTTTTACTTACCAAATAATGAAAACAGCGATCGAAAACAGTGCTTGAAACTTGGTATTCACAGGGAAAAACAAGGCATTCGTTGTTAAACCAACTTGAGGCGTCCCGATGATGTCGTAAAGGAATGCTGTTTATTGATCACTGATTATTAATAACTTGACACGTCACTTGCGATTTATTGTTAAACAGAAAACACCGTGACAAGGGGGTCGTCTTGCGTTACTTTCGCTATAGCGGGCGGCAAGCACGTCCTTAGCGGGGTAGTTCCTTATTCCCACTTACCCTGAATCTTCCTCAGCAAGTATTTCTTCTCGACCTACTATAATTTCAACATGCATAGCAAAAATTTTTTTGTAACCTCCTTTCGTGTTTTTTTCCTGGTTCAGCTTATTAGTTTCTAAGTGAAAGATAAAAACATAACTTGTGGGTGTGGTCGAGCAGAACTAAAACGACCACGCGCGAATTTAATCATTTTCTGGAATAAAAATATTAGTAACTTACTATCATCAAAATAAATTGGGTGAAATCACAATAAAAGGAAATTAGGGTTCCCAAGTTCATTTGAAAACACAATTTATTGATCCATTCCTTGCGCAGTCGCGCAGGTGATCCAGTCCAGTGATCCAGTTTTCCACAACAGCAAGGTTAGAGAAAAAATTTTTTTTTGGTCAGTACATTCGAAACCATTCTCTCTTGACGAAACAGAATTTTTTTGTGTGAAAAAGAAATACAGATGTCGGTTTTGCATGTTCGTTTGGTTTGCAGTTTCATTTGTTTTGATGTAGTGTCGCCTTTCACCGTTTTCCCACCCTCTCTCACGCAACGCAAGATGGGGGGGGGGAACTTTTATGCCACGCAAGAAACAGGGGGGTAAATCTGGAATACGATTTTCCTAGATCGAGCGTGGGATGAGAATGGTCACCATGGTTACCAGAACAATATGTACTTGTTGCTAACATATGACTGAATCAGGGTTTTCTATAAGGCTATCTAGGAAAGGAGGGCAGAAGACGGGAGATTGGGAATTTATTTTAGAAGTGATCTCACATCTCATAGTATTTGCCTCTGGGCTTCCTGTGCTAAGTTCTTAAATGGAAACAAAAGTTCCCGGATGTTACCCCGGTTTTGGGAGGAAAGCATGACGTGTTGTAATGGCGTGTTAACGCGTGTTTATCTCTTTGTTGAATCCGCATATTTTTTCCTCCATCATGGGTACTCAAGGGAATCCAACAATTTAGGCAACTGAACTAATTTAAATGCCTTACAAACAAGGCCATGAGGAGGGACTCGCTAAGACTAGAGAAATGAACATGAAATATAACAGGGAGATCTTGGGTTCAATCCCCATCACCCATTAAGCAGCACTCAGGTCTTAAAATTACTGTGCTGCAAACGGCTACATCTCTTTGCTTACATGAGCACCTATAATGGCAGGACCGTCTTATGTAGGGGACGTAGACTCTACCTATGTATGAAAATGGCTGGTTGAGTTGAGAGTAATACAATAAAAGAGCTTCACTCAGAAAACTGAACTTCACGAGATTTATTTTATTTTCTTCATATTTTATGCCTCTCCTTTGCCAGAGGGAGGGATAACAATAAAAAAAGTCAGCTGGCCTTTTAATTTTAAAGTAATGCAATCAAAAACATCTTTTTAAATGCAGAAGTCAAACAATCTTAGAGTAAGTCTGCGCCGATCCAAGGAGATAAAGGGTCATAAAACCGTGTGAGTTTTAGTACTTAAAACGTTTATGATTAACGCTGTCTTGCTACAAAACGCTCGTATACACACGGCCTTCTCGGGTCTTCATTTCCTTCTTGAGAAATCCACGCGATTATCACATGACAGTCTGTTCCCCAAAACATTGTCAGTACCATTATCAGTCAATCCATGTAGTCTTGATATAAGCATTTGTATCCTTCAAAGTATCTGTTAGCCATAAGAACCACACCCAAAATTAGCTTTAGAAGTGAAACGAATAAGCTTGCGATGAAACTACTTCATGTAGATGTCCTTAAAGAAAAAACATGAAAGTAACAACGGTGAAAAGTAACATGACTATCGCCTCGAGCAAAGCTGTTGACGCTGACTTGTCTTTCTCCCTCAACTTTTTGGGCATGTTGAATAATCCCGCACAAATCAAAAAGGTGGTATAAGCAGAACGTCTTCGCGTTTTCCTTGACTTTACCTCCCACGAAAAGCCTCTTCACTTCCCAGCCAAGGCTGCGAAAATTACTTTAAAACGGCGTAATTCTGATGAAGGTTTCTAAACTTGTTGAAGTTAGTGCATTTTTAGATACCAAAACATGTGAAATGTTTGCTTTAATAGACAGGTACTAAAATAAATTAAGCCATGCATGGCTTTTATTTACCTAAAGTAGCTAATAGGCCCATACAGTCGCTTTTTATATAATACTGAAGCTAACAGTCGAGAAACATCAGTATCTGGGATTTTCACGCGATAACCCGAAATTGGTGTTTAGTTATCTATGCAGGTGAGATGGTAATGACAATTTCAGCCGCTAAATCCGTCCTTTAAAATCTCTGTTTTCAAAGCAAACAGGTCACGTTGGAACAATAAAGTGATCTATAATGACTGGTGGATCAGACACGGTTTTGATCCAATTAACTTTTAGACTATGGATTAATGAATTCTTCGGCAAATCAACCAGCTTCGTTCCCAGTGACGTTTCATCTCTCCGCCCCATGGAGCATGGGAAACAGCGAGACACTGGGAACGAGGTTGTCACGGAAAAGCTATTTCTAACAAATGAAAGAATGGAACTTGAAAACGTAAGCCAGACTGTTTCAAATTGAGGTTCCCTTCCTAGACACGTTTTAAAGTTTATTTTTCTGTCCTTTTGCAGCTTTTTCACAACGAGGCTGTGTGACGGCTGATATGAAAACAGTGTTTTATTGTCATGCAAATCAAACTCATTCTTACATGAAAGGTTTTGCACCTGGTTTTGTTTCGAAAGTGAAGGTTTTTCAACTCGGAAACGACCTATTGTACAGACATTTCGCCTTTAAGCACAAAGAATTTGTTTAATACAGCTAGATGTTTTTTAATTACATTGGATAGGAAAACGAGAAAACAATAGCAACAACTTAAAAAAAACTACCATTACAATTTTCACAGTTAGCTTCTTTACATGGCAATTTTACAACTATTTAAAGCTGACCATTTCAAGGAAGTCTATTTCAGAACTGATATATTATTTAGGAAATCAATAGGAGAGCTGCTATAATCAGAAGGTTGTCCAGGCCGCTCAATTCTCATTGCCTTTCATTGATTTCTCATGAAAAGCTGTATTTCAGTCGGCTATTTTAAGACCATACAGGTTTTGTTGAGGTCTGGATAAAGTTCTCTGTGAAATCACGTATGTTTTTCACCGTGACATTTAACTTTGTTCCTCTGTACGGGAGATAATGTACATTAGCCACCAGATTAACTAGCATAAGCAGTTCCATAGAGCCCTCGGCAAAGCAAAGAAAACTCCTTTACGGAATCTTTGACCCGCCTCCGATGTGCCCTGTCTCTGTAAAACATAATAAAATAGTCAATATGACCTTAAAGCTTTTCAAACCTTTATTAGGTTATGAGAATAAGAAGGGGGATTTACGCCAATCAGAAACGGACACATGGTAACGCATGTTGAAGTGCAGGCTGGTAGTAGAGAGCACCTTTAACAATAACGCCACCGTGATTCATTCCGTTGATATAAATTCACCTTTTGTTGTTTTACTAACACGTCTGACAGTGTCCCTGGATGAAAAAATTGTCCTAAAAATGTCAAGCTTCTGGTCGAAGGGCCCGTTTTTCGCCAACCATTTTGGCCTTCTAATATAAACTGTGACCAATATTTTTCGAAGTAACGTCTGCTTGAAGAAGTGTATTTAAAACTTTCTTGGATAAAGAATTTTACTGCGCAGAATATTAAAACAATTCAGTGTAAAACTCACCGTAACACGGCACTGGTGAATTGTTGTTTTTGAGTCAATGTAACCAGTTTGGAAGGAAATCCTTCAACCTGCATAACGTCCTGCAAACACAAAGAGTTCACCTCCATGCTTTAAGAAAACCACCCCAATGAGAAACTTCACAATATGTAAGACAGTAGATGTAGGTTTCTGGGAAACTGCCCACCTACCCCTCCCCTAACTCAACATTAACACTTACTTCTCACTGAAGGCAAAATGTTGGCTTAGGGGAGGGGTAGGTGGGAGTTTCCCGGAAACCTAAATTCATCCACATTTTTCATTGACTAGTTATCTTACCTGCATCCATCGAGACAGCTGAGACACATCGAGCCAGTTTAACGCGAGCAGTATTTCCGCCATATAATCAGTGCATTGCCTGGGTACCCCTCCACCTATTCCCTAATGGATAAAGAGGAAAGAAAAGAAACAACGAAAGTGAAAGAAATGAAATGAAGCATCAGAAACGAAACCAAACTAACGAACGCTACCATTAACTACATAGCACGACAGGGCTTAAAAACGGCTGGACATGCGCATTAAAACTCTGGGGTTCTTCCCGCCATTCGATTTTCAAAATGGCGGACGACGAATGAAAATTCTACACGTCATTCTGACGGCTATTTGCGACATCTTGCTTTTACTTTCTTGTGATTGGTTAATGCCAACACTGTTCACTTACGATATCATTGATCATTCTCATCGGTGCATACGGCATACCTTGATTACTTGACTGACAAGGTACGATCCATATTCTAACAGCGTTTTCTTCGCATTTTCTTGATTCTCACAGGTAGCGATGAATGTTGACTGACAAAAAGTAATGGGGAAAACAATAAACAATCCAAACATACACTTTATGAACGACAACATTCACATTCTCCATGAAATAGCACTGTTTTTTAATCGGACATAAAGTAACAGAAAATATCTAATGCTTACCATTCACACCAAGTAAACATGTTTCATTAACCAGGTTTACACAGAATTCAAATGATCTTCAGCATGTTTTGTAATTAAGTTAAGTCAGTAAGCAGCTTTATGAAGCAAACAATTTTAAACTGCGTTTAACTAAAGAGCTTTTAAACATGTTTAAGCTTTGGTGTGAATGGGGCTTGTAAAACATTCCTTTGCTTTGAATAGCTTTCCATAGTAAGAAATATAAGGAGAACAGTATTGTTAACATACTCTTTTATAGAAGGTATTAATGGATAAACTTACAAAGAAGGAGCAAGCGGCTCTGACTGACTGACTTTCTTGAACATCAAGAATTGCCAAACCTGTAAATAATGCCAAAAGATCGTTCAATCAACTGAACCATACAAGCCACACTTTTCAAGCAGCACCTTCCTACTTGACTCTTTCACTTCTAAATGTGACAGAAGTCAAAATATAACAAATTTACAAATTTGAAAATAGTACCGTGTAAACGCACAGGGCACAGAAAACACGAATAAGGCAAAGGAAAAAGTAGACGATAAAACGGTAAGCTTACTACTTATTAATTAATATTTTCGCCTCAAAATTTCCACCTTATTAATCTGCTACTGGAACATTACTAACCACATTGAAAAATGTTTCGGCAACTGTCTCCTTCGAAAACCAATTTGGCGTTACTTTTAAGAGCCTGCAAGGTGAATACAAACTATACATAGTATTTGATGTTCAATACTTAGTGATTTCTTTGCTAATGAATCGCAGTGACTGCATTTCTGAACTAAAGTGTAATTCATTTAATTCTTTGCATTTCATAAGACTAGTCAATTGTTAACAAATATTTTAGCCTCAGTTTATTTAAGCACATTATTATTATTCTTTTTTATGTATATAAACAGCTTTTGCTAAGGTGTTTTTTCGCGGTCTTACTTGCCCAGTTCGGAATATAATCTCGCAAACTCTGGCAAAACTGCGCGCTAAGCTGGTGTAAAAAATATTCCGTCTATGTCTTCTAACCGATAGGACAGTACTTTGAATCCAGTATATCGTTTAAAACAGGATTGGAGTGCCCAGTTCACTTACGCGGCTGACGAACTGCATAAATGACTGAAGAATGTCTGGATATTCTCGCAGATCTAAATTCCAAGGAGAAAAAAAGGATTAGTATCAATTTAACAAGGGATTTGAAGATAAAAGACCTGATCTTGGTAACCTCATCAAGGAGGAAGTCCTCATGTTTGTAGGAAGATTCAAGACATTCCCTAACATTCCTGCTTGATACTTACAGATTTCTTACGGTGTCTGAAGATTTCATGCCAATTTGGAAGCGAATCTTCGTCCAAGTCAGTATAGTGAGGAGTATGAAACCCGGCCCTCGGCACTTCATTCTATCATAAGAATACTTCCGACAACATACTGAACTTAAAGTGACGCTGACGAAAATCATATTATGGTGCTCAGTCCCCACGGCAAATTACCGCGCACTAAGAAACAATTAATTTTTACCTAAGCTATATGAAAGGCGCGCCCCGCCACTTCAAGAACTAACCAATCAGGTTGCAGTGTTGAACAATGCATCATACGGTCGCAAAGCCGCCTGTTGAATATGGATGACTCAGTTATAACAACCACAAGTAAAAACGAGAGGAAAAAACAGCTTACTACTTTGTAACAGCTGAAGTGATGACGCAGTGATTTTTTGAAATACTAGCAGGATGGTCTGATAATGTTCGTCCAGCATCCCGTACATTCCTACCAGCTGAAACAGCAAAATATCATCAGCTAAGTTGGTGAACTGTTAAAGCATTGGTCCTGTGCTTTGGGTCAAACTTACATGTGGTATGGGTGAATCCTCGCTGACGTCATTTTTGCTCAGTAGCATATAAGTTAACCCATAAGTGACGTCGCCGTATGGAAAAATTAGGCTCAAAAGTTGAAAGAGCTGGTTGATTTGAGCAGTTTGTGCAATTTTCAACCCGTTGCAATCAATAACAAACGAAATATGGTAATCACAAACTGCCAGATTGTTTGGTGGCAAAAACATTAATGGTCTTGAACATTCTTTGTAAAATTTGGGGGATTTCAAAGAGAATTTCTCCGAAACTATTCGGTATATCGGGCTCAAATTTTCAGAGATTTTATTTTATTAGCTTCATCAGATAATAACAAGGGTATGTTAATGAGACAAAAAATGTAAACAAGGATTCGCCTATTTCCATCACTAGAAGGAGTGTTCAACGCATATCCAAAAAACCTTCGTTAGTTTCTTCCGCAACAATTTCGCCCTAGGCTTCGTCGATTTCAATCCACGCTTATAAAGAGGTCACTGCTCATGCGTAGTCAGTGACGCACCCTCTGAAGAAAGTTTGATTGATTTCAAAACAAATAACTAGCTCTGATAAAGGCTTCAATTTATGGTACGATTTCAAAGCTTCCATGCATTCACCTATGACAATGCATGCACTGTAGCTCTTTGCAAGTTCAGTTCGTATCGCTAGACCATAAACGTTCGATCCTCACCGTGGCCGCTACATCCAGAATACCGCTGCGTGGCGAGACAGTGAAATAGCCGACGACCAGCTCAGAAAGCGCTGACACCAGCGTTCCCATGTCATCTCTTATTGTGCCTATTGCTCTCTCCAAACAAAGGCAAAACATCTAGAGAAGAGTGAAAAAGTTATCGTTATCCTCTATCAGGAAGACCTGAGATTACGGTTGTTTCCCCATTTACATGGACAAACCGGTCTGTTCACGGTTTGAATAAATGGTAAGCAAACTTCGGATTGGTAAATTTCGTCCCGGAATCGCGTTTACCATTTGTACAAATGAGATCCATTTACCGAAAAACGGCCGCGAAGGCCTGAAACTTGTATCAAAGATGGCGGTGAAGAACTGAAAAACGAATTTCTGTTTGAGAAGCTCGGTCCGGAAAAACAGGACTACCTTTTCAGATGTTCCGTTTCTCCGGCCCGGAAATTGTCCGCTGCAACGACCGAGTCGTGTTCTATTTACTTTCCAACCGGATTTTCCGGAAACTTTTTGCAATTGGTAAATAACCCATGTGTATTCAGGATGGTCTCTTATCCCTCCAGGATCCCTCTAGGAGAAATTCAAGTGGTTGGTCGAGTGAACAAGAGTAAAAATCGCTCCATCCGAGCAGAGGCGAAGAAACGACGGTAACGTCCCTTATTTTCTAAACCCCGTCCTCCAAGAGACGTGTGCTCACTCGACCACACCAAACTAAAATTAGGACCCCTGGTATAGGCTCAAACGGGTGACAAGGTCACTTCATGAAACACTGCAGCATTAACCACTTCAGAAGATAACCCGAGTAAAATTACCGCAAGATTCTCCAACAACAACAGAATGTATAAGTTATTTTACTCTACACGAGCACATTTGCAAAAACCACGGGCGCAAGCTGAATATGAATGCCCATACATATTAACAAAATGCTAAACTTCCCCAATAAAACTGTTTTGTGATGAAATTTCACAGTTCATACTTGCTGGATGTGGGTATCGTCTAACCAGTGACCCATGGACCCCAACGAAGGTAGTATATCATTTAATACAACAGCTGCCTGCAAGGTAAAGGAGAAAACAGACTAAAATCTAACCCTGCTTCACCTCCAAGAGGGCCTCGTTGCCGGGTTCAAGGGAACCGCCGGGAACGAGGTTGTTTGACTCCTAATGTCATTGGCAGTTTTACTGTTGGAGACGTTAAAGTCGACTGACGTAAAAACGGGAGGCAAAAAAGCTGACGAAAGAAAAAACGAGTTCTCTGAATAATAGACAAAACACCCATCTTTTCCAGTCGTTTCTGGAGCAGCTGGGCATAAATACATTCCAGTTTACGGCGTCCCGTTTTTATACTAAAAGCAGTTAACGTCTGAGACGTTAAAAAAGTCGACTGTTAACAACGCACTTAACAGAAAGCGTTCACGTTAACGTTGAATGCGTCTGTCATATTTACCGTTTTATAACTAGACGTCAAAGTCGTCTTAAGACGAGTTTAATGACTCAAGCATAATAACGGTCCATTGCTGTGACCAACAATGCAGTTGCAAATTTTGAGTCTGTGGATGTAAACCTGATCACTGGGGGCTTGTGTTCCCGCGGTTAGCATGAGTGAACGTTTTTCCGCCCTTGGTGCTGGGTATATGCCTATTTGATGACTTTGAGCACTTTCAAGATCTCCAGCTTTGGTTCACGCACCCATCTGAAACCTCGATACAAGAACATGTAACTTATTAATCATATCCACTACTCACCGGGTGGGGATGATTTTCAATATTGTCAGGGTCCAGACATTTAAACAACAAAATAAAAACTTGCAGATGAAACTGGAGGNCACCTACCGACCATCAGCAAAGCTGTCTGCGACACGTATGAATGAGCAGGTAGCCTTGGCAACAGTAACAGAATTGCAGGGATAAAGGTTTCCTCACAAGGGTCAACATATTCCGCCACTGCTTGAATCAGATAAAGTGTTGCATCTAGGGACTAGAGACACAGTTGGTGCTTTTACAGCCTGTTTTCTTGATAAGCAACACTTTATTGAGTTATGGTTACTGTACCAGAATGTCTATTTTAAGGTTGATGCAATGAGAAAACCAGCCTGTTCCAGACGTTCAGAATGTGGGGACGGTGCAAAGAGCTGTAAGCAGGAAAACAGCAAGGGAGTGGGGTAGGGGCTGTTCTCTCTGACTTTGCAATGCACTCCACTATCTGAAAGCCTGAACAGGCTATAAGAGATTAGTGAATCCTACTGTCTTCATAGCCGGCTGTTTCAGACTTTGTTAAAGTGCTGTTAAGGAAACTTAAGCATGGCGAAGCTGCCGAAACACACCAAAAGGCTATGATTCCTGTTTCACCACATGCAGAACAGTAAACTAACAAAAAACTAAATAATGCCTTTGTAGGATAAAATTAATGTTTGACAGGGAGGTTTTTGGGTAACTTAGTTAGGGGCAACAAGTCCTAAAAGCGATTACCATGTGGCAGTGAAGAAGCACTCACCTGCCAACTACCCTCTGTTTCAACAGATAAAAGTGTTGATAACATGTGATGCAGGTGTTGTAAACAGTGTCCTCTCAATAAACAGTAAACATACATCTGAAAAAAAAAAAACACAACTTGTTAACATGTTGACTATTTGAGAAAAAGTTACTACTTGTATCACCAAGATTTACAATTTTCACATCCAATAGTCACTATTGAATTGTTGGAGAAAATGAGATATTACTCTTCCTCAATACTATTAGCCATTTTGTGAACTCTGCCAGTAAAATGCAAAACTTGGTTAATTGAGTAGCAATGTGTGGCTCCTTCCATACTCGGCCCTTCATCCACCTGGAATCATTATAGGTTTCTGGGAAACTGCCCACCTTCCCCTCCCCTAAGCCAACATTAACACTTACTTCTCACTTAGGGCAAAATGTTGGCTTAGGGGAGGGGTAGGTGGGTAGTTTCCCCACACCTACCATAGTGTCTGCAATATCCTGTCTGTAGCATCTAAACTGTTCTTTTTCCTCTGTCTCAGTTACATGTATTACACAATACAATACCTGATGTTGTAAAAGCTGTGCCAATCCTTTCACATAAGGATCAAATATAACTCTCACTTTCTCTATAGCATCAGCTGTATCTTGCACAGATAGCACATGTCCAATGCATTCAACGCAGCGAATACGTTCACGCTCCTGTCGAAAAGTAAGTTTTGAACAATTACTGGAGGAGGCTCGGCGAGAAGGGAACTGGAGCCGAAATATCTCCCGAAATTGTTTCTGGGATTCTACTACGAACACGCCTCCAATCGACCTGGCCTCTCCATCACAGTCATGGAACTTATTCCACTTGAACTTCCATCTACACTTAGTATGTCACGCCGTTAAGCAAGAGAAGTTAACCTCATAAATAGAGCCAAAACTCTTTCACCAGATGGTTTAAACAGAAAGGACGAACGTTGAACTGTACCTTTTCATCACTTTATTGTAAAATTATTTACCTATCTATCACGCTGTCTACTGTACTCATTTTTGGTTTATCATTAGCCTGTCATGTAAATTTAAATTCAAATTTTAGGAGCCGTTGTAGTATTCTTTCTCAGTGTAGCGCTGGCCCTGACGAAGGCTAATTTTGTAAGCCGAAATATTGGCCTCAAACAAATCAGTCATTTGAGGTATTGCAGGCCTTGCATTCAGTTTTCCTTGTCCTTAGTACAGTCCCAGAGGTCTTGGCGAAAGTTAACTGGACCTAGTTTCCGTCTCGGTTCTAAAGTGGCAAATGATAGAGAGAATTGACAAGGCTGAGGGTTAATAGCACAAAAAAGCAACTTACCTTCATAACTCCACCTGAAAGAGCCGCCTGAAGAACAGATAAAAAATAATTCTCAGGTAAAATAAGAAAACACTTTTTGTAGGAAAAACGTAAGACTAAGTTCCGTCACTATTTGGCTCGGCTTTCCTTTTGATTGGTGGAGAAAGTGACGCGATATTTTAACACCAATCACAAAGCGTAGACGCACAAAACTAAATTTGCCTTACCTGACAATGGGTAAGAATCTCGGTTAGAGACCCAGATTCTAAATCTTGAACACACTCCTCACAGATTCCACGTAGGGCCTGGGTTGAAGCAGACGCCAAGTGTTCTTTGGACAGACCAGCCAGTAGAACCGGAAGTACAGAGCGCAGGTGATCAGGGTGACATTTGAGCCACTCGGAATAAGAACCTGATTAAATGATTTAAGAACGGAGAAGTGTGTTAGCTTTAGACATATTCTGCTCTCCTAGTCAAGTAAACTGAAGGCACGAAAATCAGAAAAAAAATTGAAAAAAAGATTGAAAACTCTTTTGTCTTGTAATCAATTCATTTCCCTCGTACTCCAAGTGCTACTTTACCGATAGAGCAACGTACAGCTGTATTTGTTAAACATTGCGAAACATTGACTAACTGTCTAGAGCTACAAAAGGCTATTTGTACTATGACTAAGACCAGAATTCATTATGTTTTTTTCTTGATAATTGGAATTAGGAAATTCCAGTGTAGTTCATATAGCAAAAGCCCTAATTTACACAAGAAAGCAAAACCCTGAAGGATCTGATTCTGAAAGCTATTCAGCAGGACTGGGATTGTTTATGGTTTACAAGGTGGTTCTGGCTTTTGACTCTGTACACGAAATCCCACGAAAGTGTGACAACTCAAATGCACCTGTGGTACAGTTCACATTTCTCAACCTCGTCCCCAGGGCACTTTCCCTGGCTTTGGGGGCGGGGCCCCGCCCCCAAAGCCAGGGAAAAGCGCCCTGGGGACGAGGTTGCACATTTCTGTACAAGTTGGTAACAGGTAAAGATTTCAACACTTTTACTGGAAATTTGGGGCAACATGGAAGTGAATTTAGTGTTGAGTATATCAACTATACCTCATGCACACCTACCGACCATCAGCAAAGCTGTCTGCGACACGTATGAATGAGCAGGTAGCCTTGGCAACAGTAACAGAATTGCAGGGATAAAGGTTTCCTCACAAGGGTCAACATATTCCGCCACTGCTTGAATCAGATAAAGTGTTGCATCTAGGGACTAGAGACACAGTTGGTGCTTTTACAGCCTGTTTTCTTGATAAGCAACACTTTATTGAGTTATGGTTACTGTACCAGAATGTCTATTTTAAGGTTGATGCAATGAGAAAACCAGCCTGTTCCAGACGTTCAGAATGTGGGGACGGTGCAAAGAGCTGTAAGCAGGAAAACAGCAAGGGAGTGGGGTAGGGGCTGTTCTCTCTGACTTTGCAATGCACTCCACTATCTGAAAGCCTGAACAGGCTATAAGAGATTAGTGAATCCTACTGTCTTCATAGCCGGCTGTTTCAGACTTTGTTAAAGTGCTGTTAAGGAAACTTAAGCATGGCGAAGCTGCCGAAACACACCAAAAGGCTATGATTCCTGTTTCACCACATGCAGAACAGTAAACTAACAAAAAACTAAATAATGCCTTTGTAGGATAAAATTAATGTTTGACAGGGAGGTTTTTGGGTAACTTAGTTAGGGGCAACAAGTCCTAAAAGCGATTACCATGTGGCAGTGAAGAAGCACTCACCTGCCAACTACCCTCTGTTTCAACAGATAAAAGTGTTGATAACATGTGATGCAGGTGTTGTAAACAGTGTCCTCTCAATAAACAGTAAACATACATCTGAAAAAAAAAAAACACAACTTGTTAACATGTTGACTATTTGAGAAAAAGTTACTACTTGTATCACCAAGATTTACAATTTTCACATCCAATAGTCACTATTGAATTGTTGGAGAAAATGAGATATTACTCTTCCTCAATACTATTAGCCATTTTGTGAACTCTGCCAGTAAAATGCAAAACTTGGTTAATTGAGTAGCAATGTGTGGCTCCTTCCATACTCGGCCCTTCATCCACCTGGAATCATTATAGGTTTCTGGGAAACTGCCCACCTTCCCCTCCCCTAAGCCAACATTAACACTTACTTCTCACTTAGGGCAAAATGTTGGCTTAGGGGAGGGGTAGGTGGGTAGTTTCCCCACACCTACCATAGTGTCTGCAATATCCTGTCTGTAGCATCTAAACTGTTCTTTTTCCTCTGAGATTAGTGAGAAAAGTCACTATTAACACCACAAAACATGTAACAAAAACAGTCTGATATAATGCTTAAATAAATCACCCTGTTTAGGTGTGAATGTAATCATAGTTCATGGGAGATGAACATCGCAAGGTGATAAACTACTTGCAGTTGCTTAGTTTTGCCATTGATCTTTCAACAAGGAAAACACATGAAACTTGCCATGTCAAGTCTCCTATCATGGGAGAATCTCTGTGCGCACACACGTTTCATTTACTCTGTCATCTATTACTACATTGTATGTCAACAACGGGCTACTAGTAGTTTAGTGGTATAAATTATCACGTAATTGGTAAACCATATTCATGTGCCACAGATTGCTTCTTACCCGATGAAAATCCCTGCCAAATATTTTCTGGAGGAAACTGTACTTTTCGCATAAACACCTGAAAATATCGAAAATACCGAATAAGACAAAAGAACTACAGCTGTAAGGAAGATTATAGTCTCTTCCACGCATTCAGATTGTAGAAAGCAGCAGAAAGTGGATGCTAGAGCAAGAAAAAATAGAAAGAGGTGGAAACAATTCATGCCATAATGGGTTGACTTAGGCTATATTCGCACTATAATGGATAGCTTTTGAGCCGGCAGAAAAATCATACCGGGCAGGGCTTCCGTTCACATACGTAAAAACGGTGATTTTTTTAAACATTGCAGTGAGCTCATTATATCTTAAAAGACAGATTTTTTTCAGTTTGAAAAAGTATAATGTTTGGTATTAATTTAAAGTACCTCGCAAAGTGATAATAGTACTGGGCCATACATAGCTGTGTGTTTAACCATTAGACTTGGCTCCTCGGCACTTACATCATCCTAAAACATTAAATAATTTACAACAATTTTAGACATTGCAAATACACTTCAGACTGTTGTTTGAACAAAAGCAAAAGACAGTTAATTGTCTGCAGCGCATCAAACCTGTAAGGTGTACCAAAAGTTGAACGTCATCTCACTACACTGTTCATCAACAGGATACCAGCCTGGTGCCCCCGTGCACTCCTACGTGTAGAAAACAAAAAGCTTAAAATGACAGTGTTAACACCCATTCTCAAAGGTTAGTGCTGTCTGGAAACCATAAGCCCAAAGAACCTCTCTAACACAGGGCTATCACTAAGGGCCGAAGAGGCCAAGGATTTCACCTGGTTACTATAAGTATGACCCCTGCCTACGTGATCAAGGCAAACAATAGAAAAATAAAACCAAAAGAACTCCTTTGTTGTTGATTTTCCTGCCTACTAATTTCATATACACGTACCCAGTTTGAGCTTGAAATCTTAGCTGGGCAGCCCTGCTCTCACAAAAGCCCTGAGTCACTGTGAGCATCTTAAATTTTCAGATTTTTTTAAAGATTCATCTTTAAAATCACAAAGCTCTTGGCAAATGAGAGAAGAGGAGTAGGATTTCCAGCGATGGTTGATATCAGGTCAGTGAATTTTTGAGTGAAGTAAGGCTACATAATTTCACAGGATACCAGTCAAATTTTCAACCAGGTGAAAAATTTGACTGGACACTTTGACATTGTTCACACAAAACTGTTGAACCGTAATATTTCCAAGAAAAGCAAGTGATGATACCACCCATAAACCCATGTTTGCAATATTGGTTTGAAAATTTCTTCTCTTTTCATTCACAAATATCAAAACAAATTATTCTTGGTAGAGTCAAACCCCATCAAAAGAGACACTGAGGGAGCCATGGAAAGTGTCTGTAAATAACAGGGTGTGCGTATCAAGGGGATTGAATTTAGAGAAAATGTGAGGGCTTACTTTCCCCTGGGACAAGGAAAACTGTCTGTAACAATGAGGTGTCCATAAAGCAGGGTTCGATTGCAGTACTGACCAATAATAACTGTACAAGAGTAAACCCTTGTAATTCCCGTTCCTCAGTATCAGCAGAAAAAAGCAACTTCAGATGTGTCTCAGCCAGAGAGACCATGACTCGACATAAACCTCTTGAAGTGTCCTGTGATCAAACAAAACAGGGAATTTAAAGTAGTATAAAAAGTGAACGTATTGGTGTGTATATTCCCCACGAAAAACAGCAGTGTGGTAATTTAACAGACAGTGTTGTAGCTGAGACGAGAATACTCACTTGCAGAGATGCCAACCTCTGGAGATCTAAAATCTGGAGAATCTCTTGCACTACCCCATAGGGGGTAGGGAAACCAATACTTAAGTCCTAGTGAGTTCTGATCAACTGATAGTTAATAATATGTGAAACTATCATGGAAATGCGAAAACTTCTATATTTTAGTATGACTCACCATATCTCCTGACTGCAAGGCTGTCCTTAATGTTTCACCAAGCCCCAATACACTTGACACAAATTTCCACATATAACTTGGATATCTGAGAAGGATAAGACTTACAGTCAGACTTTGAACACTTAAAGGCATTCCAAATCTTTATTTGAAAATAAATTGTGGGCTCAGATTTGACATTTACCCATTTACTTGCTTATGGGTACAGGCTGAAAATGATGATCAGGTTTTAAGAAGAATATGGTCAGAAATTGCTTACTTTGTCCCTGATGGATGCGAGGCAACTTCAACAATCAAGTCCACACTTTCATCAAACAACTCTGGATTATGTACTGATTCAAACACCAGTGGTAGAGAATCATCAAGATCAACAACCGTCACTCCAAACTGCACCCAGCTGATCAGACATTTGAGCGCCTTCAAACCGTAAAGAATAAAGTCAGAAACTTAACATTAATTTAAAATTTTGTAACTTTTATGTAATGATGGATAAAGAAATCATATTTGCAGAAGGTGTAAGTACCTGTTGCCTGACTTGAACAGACTGTGTTGGTAATAATGTTTGATGGATAACCTTGACAACTGTAATGAACAAAATTACACTTATTGATTTACTTAAATTTTGCTTTTCGCGAGGCCTTGGTACAGAAAATTTTGAAAAGGACATGGACTTGAAACAGTGGTCAACATAGGACAGAAGAAATGGGCACAAATGAAACAAAGATGGATTGAAGCCGTGACAGTGAATCTGACAGGGACATGGCTTCTTTCTAAATTTGTTTGAAATTCAGGCTAAGGACATGCATTCCCAAGCCCAAGAGGACCTCAGTCAAAGGTAAGGAAACTAAATGAGCTACAAGAAAAACATAGTTCAAAGTATGCTTTCTTTAGAGGGTCAAGATCAATAAACCTGCAGACAGTGTTTAGTGCTTCATACCTTGGGGTACACCAGAATTTAATTCTCCTCTCAGAGTAACTTTTCTTCCAGGTGCAAAATCACTTGAGTGAAACTAATAGGGGAAAATGAAAGACAAAAAAAGACACAGCTATTTCAATTTTGTTGGACAGAAGGCACAATAAGGTTGCCCTTAGCAATACGAGTAATTTCTCAAACCTTTACTCAGCTCAGCCATGAAGCAATATTAAGCAACTGTTTAAGCCATTCTATGACAACGCAACTGCGTAAAATTGTAGTTATGACCAAATTATGAAAGGATTAACAGCTTCATACATGACCTCACAGTCTTAAGGGGCTTGATCCTGTCAAGTAGCCTCTTAATGACTTGAAAACACGCTATTTTGTCAACAAACCTCTTCAGGCAACACAGTAAGGATTTCAAGCATCGAGATGGGCCAAACACTGCCCTGCAGAGAAAGTTACAAAAATAGTATGATGATGAAGTCATTCTAATCCTGTCGGTAGTGAAATGAAAGTGAATGTACAAAAATTAACATATTGAACTGCAGAGGAAAGATTTAACACATGAAGGATCCTCACAGTGATTTATATATGTGCAAATTATGCAGTTGCAAAAACTAAGTGGTAAGAATACTGCATCAGTATCACAGAAGTCATGGGTTTGAATCCTGTTCAAGCCTGAATTTTTTTCAGTTTTTCTTGTCAAAACTGCTTACCTCCAGGAAAATGTGATTTTTTTTTCCTTGTTCCAAGTATGAGAGATGAAAGATACTGTACATCTTCAATCAGGGCATTAATCAGATCAGAAGTTGGGTTTGCTTCTTTCTGGTAAATTACTAATTTAAACAAATGTAACAGTACAACTACTACTGCTCTTCTAGATAAGGATTTCACCTGTGATGAGCTCGTTGGGGCATTTTGAAATGTAGTGATAATGTCGGTGACTGCATTACTCCAGTGTTCAGGCATAGTATTGAGAGCAAAGGCAGCCAGCTGTTGAAAACAAATTTACACAATAATTATAAAACAAGAACATTGTCAACCATTTCTCTCAATTTATTACATCCCAAATAACTAAGGTTATACCTCTGGCAGCACCTGAGGAGGCGTGGTGACTTGGACAAGAAAAATTTTAGCTTAAAAGCCACACTGTGTAAAATACCAAGTTGAGTACTCAGGATGTCACAGTGTCTGAGCTTCTGGGCTCAGCCATGGGCAGATTTAGGGTAGTCTGAGAAGTGCCACTTTTGTTGGAAATTTTGCGTTATTGTTAAAAAATTCTCAATAAAATAGTATCTATATGGCTGGCAAGTATCTCAACAAGTCCTGACACAATTTTCTGGATCCACCCCTAGCTCCCTTCAGTTCTTCTTTGAGCATCGCATAATTGCATATAAAAACACTTACTGCAATGCAGAGTCTTGTAAGAACAATACGTGGTCCAGTGCAAAAAACAAGAATGTGGTTGAAAAGTTCTGATCGTAAGTCATTGTAATGTTCCTCTTGAAGCTCATTCCTGAAAGAAAAAAATACTACCACCAAAAATTCCACAAAACAGAAATGCAAGTTATTTTTCTGTTACATTATCCAACGTTATTAACAAACAAACCCTGAAAAAGGTTTACACGCTACATTTGACTACTTAATTACAGTGTATAAAACATATGAAAGTAAAAATCTACCTACCAGTTTTTGGAAATCTTGAAGTGGAGCATGGATGCACCAAAAAATTGAATTTCTGTGATCTTGAATAAGACACAAAAGTTAAAATGGAAAAAAAACTTTTCTTGACCACATTTCCCTCTCTTCATTTATTGTCATTTATGGGAAATTGGGAAGAACAACTTCTTAAAACAGCCTACTGGCCAAACTAGATGTTGGTAAAAACAATTTTAACCACCAATAATAGACAACAGATGACCAACAGATGACAAACAGTGGCCAACAATTAGCTACGCTAGTTGTCAGTCAACAGACATTAAAATCAACAGTGTATCAACTGTACTCAGTAAAATGTTTCTAAAGTTTTCAAACCTTTTCTCTGTGCATCAGTCTCCAGCACAGTTGCCATGCGTGTTGTGACTTCTGTGTTGCCAACAACCACTTATGGGCTGCATCTCTGTCAGCCTGATTTTGCCCACCATACAATGTCAACAATGCCTGCAAGAGGTAATGAATGGTGTGTTCAGTACACACCTGGGGTGGAGGATGGGGGGAGGGGTTCTCCCAAAAATTTTGGATAGGTCTGTGCTACTCAGGGTCTTAAACCCTGACCCTATTCAAGGACAAGAAAGACAAAAACTTATACCCTATTTGACGCCCAAATCTGAAAAAAGAGACTCAATTTAAGGGAAAAACAAAAAGTAAGAATTTAAAGGAAACACACAAATCTTCCTTAAATCGCATTCCTTATACTCAAAGGTAAAGATCAATTTGTGGCTGGGCATTAGCGCACTTGAATTTTAAGTGAAATAATAATTAAAACGATCACCCCAGGATTACATCGCTAACAAGGGCAAAGATGATACCCTATTTAAGGTTTGAGACCCTAACAAACCATAACTTATCCGGGGGCACATACTTATCGGGCCCACATATGGGAGAAGCCCACACTCCCCCCCCCCGGCTAACCCCCAAAAATAAGGACATGTGTGTTCTTCGTTGTTAATTTGGTCAAACATAAGCAACATCTTTCAAAGCTAGGAAAAAAGCTGGGTTGTCCACTGCCATAGCTTCGACAAATCTATAACTGTAACAGGCCCCAAAACTTTAACATGTACAGTGATATAACTTAAGCTTGATGGAGATCAGCGCTCAAAAATTGTGGAAATTATTATAAACTAAAACGACACAATGAGGCCCCTGATGTTTGCGAATATCGCTTAAATGAAAACATGAGTTTGTTTTAATTTTCAACATGAAGAATCAAATTTACTTGAGGCAAATTTTCATACAAAATCAATGAATGAATAAGGTTGCTAATCTGACTTTGGAATTTTACACACTTCCGGCACACCGTGACAACTACTGCTAACCTGTTCGCATTGAAACGATAACGATTGAAGCTCCTCCTCGTTAAAGTTCATCCTCCTACAATTTAAGAATAACGTTTCGTCATAGGTATAGTGGTTTTAACCATACTCCATGACTAGAACGATCTCTTGCTCTTCAAGACCCCTTCTGTCAAATTTTTGCCGCCATCTTCAGTTGTATCGCGCAGATTGTAATGGCAATTCCGCTGAACAAAAGAACTGAAGCTTCGTGAAGAAGTCAGGGTCAAAAAAGTTTTCCTAGGCACCATTGGATATATAGATGTCCGTGCCGCTAATTTAAAAAGCAAAGCTTTAAAACTGCAGACAATTTACCAGGGATGGGTGTCGGTGGGTCCACTTGTTTAGTGAACCGTCATTCATTTTCCCCAAACTAGAAGAATACCCTTCAGACCCAAATGGCTAAAAGCAATGCCAAATTTCAGACTAAATTTTTCAAAACACCTTTGGAAAATGCTGCACGTAATTAATAGCCAGGGGAGTTCTCCCGCTGTCATGGGTGGTGGGGGAGGGTAGGGAGGAAGCAGGCCACTCTCTATTTGTATTCATATACAAAAGCTGGTTTGGGTGGCCTAAACAGATGTTTGATATGGAAATGATGCCAAAATTGACAGTTTTAGCCTGAAACTCAGAGGTATGTTAATATTGTATCTTAATTGGTAAAAGTATTTGCCATTCTGGTCTCAGATTCTCTGGGATTGTTATGGTTAGGTTTATAACATGGTTTAGGGTTTTCTGACAAGTAAAGACGAGAGCACTCCTTATGTGTTCCAGTTAGGTTTGACACTGGGTTTGGGGTTTTCAGACAAGTAAGGTTATGAGTAACCCTAACTATGTGACCCAAGTTAGGTTTAATTTGCAGGGTGCACTGACAGTGTTAAGATTTGAGTTTAAAGTGGTTTAAGTTTTAGTAAGTGACCCCTAAACACTTGAAAATTTTTTTGTAAGTTATTAGATTCATAACTGAGATAATCAGCCATGAAAAAGCCTCCTTCGTCCAGATTACAAGTACAGATTCATGAACCACAGAATAAAACAGTTCATCAAGGATGCTACGCTATTTTTGCGAGTGAAGGTGTAGCCAACTGTTCAGCCATGCCTACAAACAAGCTCTTCATTTGTGGGGTGTTATGAGGAGTCACGTGCGAGAGAGGTGCATGAATGAAGATTCCTCTTGAGGCTTCACTACTTCTTTGCATGCTCTTGCACAGCTCACTTCACTCATGACATAAAATGGAGAGCTTGTTCGAAGGCAAGACACATGCATGGTTTACATGCAAATAGTGATTTTTGACCAGGTTTGGTCCACAAAAAGATACATAATTCATGCTGTGTAAATAAAAAAAATTGTCCAGTTTTTATTGCTTCAAAAAATTTTAC